TTCTCTCAAACATCTCTCTAAACCCCTCACCTATGCTCTCTCCCAAGCCCTAATGTCCTATGTCATCTGTTGAATAAAAGCCAAAGTTTACTGAAAGGAAATGAATTGTTTTGGTAGAAGACTCTCGCTCTTGGTCCCCAAGAGACTGGTTCTCTAAGGAGACAAATGAGTGGGAAAGATGGAAACCCTAGAAAATGCTAGTGCAGAGAGTGTCGTTCTTCAGTGCTTGGAAACAAAGCTTTCTCTCTCTGCTTTGTCTCGTCTCTCTCTCATTATTTTAGCTTCTCTCTGAAGCCATAATAAATAGGTATCCATGGCCCCAACCAGTGGGTTTTCTCTATGTCTTTAAAGAGACTAAGGATGTTTGGATAAGAGAGAGAAGATGTAGGCAAAGAGACAGAAGGGGACAAAGATTGAGTCTTGGGTGGAAAGAAAATAGGAGATTTAAGAGAGAGAGAGAGAGAGATGAGAGGGGGAAAGAGATCGAGTTTTGCATGCAGGTTTAAGAGGGCTATCTTCGGCCTTACGGGCCTATTTCGGGCCTATTTGACCGGGCCTGGCACGAAAACAAAATGGCCTGCAACGGCTCTACCCAGCCCGAAAGCCCAATAAGGCCCATAGAGTGGCCCCAAATCAACCAGAACCCAAGCCCGACTCGCAAACCTGTGGCTTGGCTCGGACTGTTGGCACCCCTAATCGAAAGTAGCAAGTGTGCCATCGACAACTGGAGCACAATGAAAAGGAGGTTATTGAAGCTGCTGATATGGATGACACATGTGAGTGGCTAGTTGATACCGAGGATGATAAGGTATTCCTTGGAGAGGGCTAACCTAGAACCAGGTTCATGAGGCTACTGGGACAGCAATGAGGCCTGTACAAACAACTCAGGCTCAATCTCAAAGCCAAAGCAGGGGAAAAAAGAAGGCCTGGCAAGGGAAGGCAATGAAAAAGAAGAGGAAGAGGGTGACGGGATTGAGAGCAGAGGATGAAGAGGAAGAAGCAGATTCAGAAGAGACGAAGGATGACACTCATTGTTGAGAAGGGTGATAACTCTGATGATGATGGCGTAGCATCATCATTATCAAATGCTCCTTAGGATCCACTTGAACACCACAAGTGACGATGCCATAGAGTTGTCTGGTTGACATTTGAGTTTTGGGGTGGTGACATTTATTTGTTATTTGCTTTTGTCCTGTTGACTTTTTATGCATGGCTGAGTAACTCCTTTGTGACTTTGTGTATTATTTCTAGTTTTTTACAAGGACTTATGGAATTTCAAGCATTTTGATGTCTTACAATTTTTTCGAGTCTTTGTATCTATAAATCGGTTCTATAATATTTTTATTTTTCTTTATCACGAGTGGTTTGGGGCTCTAAATTATCCTAAAAACTCCTTAAGGCCTAAAACCCTGCCCTAAGAACTCCCTGGTCTTTATTTTTTTAGGTGGGGGGGGGGGGGTCCCTACCCTTCTCTTTTCTTGGGCACCCACTTAGCCAGCCATGCCCCCAAAACGCCTAGGCACCCACCCACGCTTTTAGCTTTTCTAAACATTGTTTACTATTGTGAAATCCTGTAAAATGCATTTTAGGGGAATGATTAGGGCTTCTATGATCACTTTTGAAAACAATATCATTGTGTTCTTTTCCTTTTTTATATTTTTATACAATAAACAAAAACTTGACCCTCATTCCGCTCTACATTGGAAGAGTTAGTTCTAGCAAAAGTCCACGTTCTCATTTATTTATTCTCTGTAGACCATTCCTTTCTTATTCCTATCACACTATATTTCAAGCTTTTTATTTTCTACTATCTCATTCCTAGTGTTTACAACTTTTGAAAAGCGGGATATAGGTACAAATAAAGGGCTTGAAATTCCAATTTTTTAATACAGGGAAGCCCTTTCTAAGACAAGCTGCACATTCAATGAGGGGAAGGGGAGAGAGCCAAAGAGAGAGAGAGCGAGAGAGAGAAAAATAACTACACAAGAGAGATGAGAGAAATTACAAACAAATTACAAGAGAGATATTGTCAAGAGCTGCGGGATAAGGAAACACAGCGAGAGAAAGAGAGTAAGTTTTGAAAGTTACTTGGGTTAACCTTTGAAAGATTCATCTCCCTTGTATAGTCAAAAGAAAGATTTGACGCCAACTTTTTGTAATAACAAAACCAAATGGCAACCTGATAGCTAGTAATTTGAGTGGCTTTATGAGCACGATTGGATGTTTCCAACAATCGCTTTTGTTTTATGGAATAAACCCATCTGAACATCTGGTCTGGTTAAAGATATGGTTGCCACATCTTTCCTTTTCTCTATCTTGGAGATCCGGTTGACACAAGAATGCTAAGGATGATCCTGTAATCCCTAGGGTTGAGGATATTCTTAAGATTGTCACCAAATGGCACACTAAAATATATGAAATGATTCCAACTAAGGGACAGGTCAATGGATCTAACCAGCATTTGAAAAATAACAAATCCAGATCCGGAGTCGGCAGCTTCAACTAGATCTAGTAGGTAACAAGGTTGACCCATATATAGAAATAGGGAACAGGCTTAGTTCTTTTTTAATTGCTTGGTTCTCTGACAAAACTAAACAATTTTGCTAGTAGAACTAACCAATTCTGTGAAAAGAACTGGCTGACACTCCCAGGTGCAACTTGTTTCCACTTTTTAAAAACCGCAGCTTTCAAACCCGCCATTTTAATTAGTTCTTCGTCAAATCTTCATCGTTGATCCCTCTACAAGATTTGCCATATTAGTTTTTGGAATAAAACCCCGTTTCGCTGATATCGAGTCTCATTTCTCCACTATATTTCCTAAACTCATCCCAAAATCTTCAACGTTGATCCCTCTACAAGATTCGCCATATTAGTTGTTTGAATGAAACCCCATTCCGTTGATATCAAGTCTCAAAATGTGGGGGTTTTTTGAAAAATTGAACTCAGATTTATCAAAAATGGCCTCGGATTGACTTTTGATCCCCACATTGGTTGGGAGTTTTTCTTCACATGGTGTCAGCTATGATATTTATAGTCATTTCATGACTTTGCGTATTTGTTGTGTAGATTGTGAATTTTTTATGCACTTTCAAATTTAGAATCTAATTTTAAATAATTTGAAATGGTAGCAATTAATGAATTTTCATATCAAATTTTAGTATAGATTCGAATTTTCGCAATTCATGAAGAAATTTTTTAAATGATTTTTTAATGAAACGGATTTTTGAATCACAAATTGTGGAATAACATGATGAAAATGAACCGCAATTTTTAATGGGTGAAAAGCTCCATTTTTTTATGTTTATCCAATTGTTTATTGTTCTCCAAATAATTTGATAAACATCAAAAATATCAAAGAGATAAACGCATTTTTTGATAAAAATTTTGATTCAAATGAAATTCTCTCAATTCTCAATTTCAATACACAATTTGTGATTTTATTGACGCTTATCAAATCAAACAGTTTACTAAATCTGATTTACCTCAAATCTTATTTAGTTAGCTTATCTGATTTGTTAAATCAGATTTTTGATAAGTGATTTAATCTAGAAAGTCTCTTTAGTTTAAATTAGATCTAAGTCATACTAAAATCTCTGATTTTTTTTTTGCTTTTTTTCAATTTTTTTCAACAATTTTCAGCTGGACCTCCCAGGATAGGGCGACCCGAATCGGTCCGGCAAGGGACCTGGATCTGAGAGATCACTTGTTGAGAGTCAAGGGCTAAGGCCTCACCAGGGTGGAGCCCCTTGAATGACCTAAATCCAATGGTGTCTGCCAACAGAGGGATGGATTAAAACAAATTACGAAGGTTTTGCAATTTCTATTCTCTTGGGATGAAGGTGAAAATTTCTCAGAGACCTTGAAGATAACTGTTTTAGAGGTTTCTATTGTGTTTTCGAGGTTAATTCAGTTTTCAAGTGGAAATGAGAGCTCCGGCTGATCATGATTCAATCTCTATGCCATAATGGTTTACTGCTCAAGTCCGATTCGCAGGTCGTTGTTGACTGAATTATGGTTTCATGTGAGCCATCTCAGCATTCATTGTAGGTTCTGATGGAAGCAATAGAACAGCTATTTCATGAAAAAACTTGGTGTGCTTCTTATATCCAATCAAGAAGTAATGAAGTTGCTGATAAATTAGCCCATTGGATGCCAAATCCAACCCCCTCAAAATTTGACAATGACAACAACCAAGAGGTGATTAAAGGGCACCACAGTGTTGACATTAGGAGCACACAGTTACTTTTTTTTATTGTGTGGGAGGTAATTGAAACACCAGCTCTTTTCTACAGTTGCTATCTCACTTTATTGTAACCTTTCCCTATTTTCAAATAATAACTGTATATGCTTAAAAAAGTCACAAAAAAATAGGAGGCTGTTTCATACCATGAGGCATATCAAGTCTAGTTCATAACAAATATTGTGAACTTACAGACTATTTTCTTGTACACTTTCTCAATTACTTTCATTAACTTTTTAGACCCACCTTTGTTCAATCATGCCGAAGTCACTCTTATACGCAGATGCTTCAAACAACAATGCCCAACAATAACATGACGCAAACACATATATTGCAACAATAAAAAGAAGTATAAGTAAAATAAGAATTAGAATAGTTGGACAATTTCAAGCACACTATTGCAAAGAGAGAGAGATACATGCATTCCACAAAAGTCACCATTCTAAACCAATCCTCCATCATAAGCAATCTTCCCACCTTCATCAACATTCCTTGTATAGGCTTCCCATATATATGGAACCACTTGAATTAAATAAGTCAATCCATTAACCAAAAGATTGTTAAAAACAAACTAGTTTGAAAAATGCCTTATGCTACACATGCACAACAAATCACCATCAACTAGCAATTAATATGGTAACTTAGAAGAGCACAAGTAAAATTCAGACTAACTAAATATATAAAAAAAACAGAAAAAAAAATCTGTGGAAACAGCATAACAAACAAATTTATACAATAGGTAAATTAACCATAAGTTCACCTTTCACTTCACAAATTGCTTGCAATGAATTACTGACGACAGGTAATAGATAACGATACCCAGGATAACCATCAACAAACATTATGTCATCTACTTGCCTGAACTTGCCAAGTTCATCACCTTTCTGCAATTAAAGAGATAAGTTTGGCATCACTCACATGCTAGAAATTTCACTAACTCAAAGCAAGATAATTTGAACAATAACACTGAGGGGAAGAATAACATACACAATGCATGATGTATACTCTATAAATGACTCAAGCTACATTCTCAGGATGAACGGCGAAGATAAACTATTGTATGCACATGATAGATATATAGGAAATACAATGGTTCATTTCAACTGCCCCTCTTGAGAATGGAAGGTGGATGGTGCCCCCACGTAATGTACAGAATGCATATCAGGTGCATGTTAATTTAAATAACCCTAATGAAAATGCATCATATGTGCACATGATAATCAAACACATTCTAATTTATAGCTCCACTGACATGTTTTATGACATAAAAATGCAGGGATGTACTAGAGGCAATCGCAAAAAGAAGAAGCCGGCTATAAGAAAGTGAAAAACTAAATATTTTTTATGAAGCAATCAGATCATTTAGAATAAGAAAGTGAAAAACTAAATATTTTTTATGAAGCAATCAGATCATTTAGAATAATCCTCGAAATACATGGTTAGTTAATCAAACCTGCATGTGAAGTATAAATCAATTTATTTGAAGTAATTCTTTTGCCAAGACAGGCTATGTTAAAGAACTATAATTCGAGATGCATTCAAATATCATCTATTAAAGAAGAGAATAGAAGAATCCTCCTTGTGATTGATGGAACATTTAAAATTGATATTAGTGGGTGTCCCAACTCCCAAAACCCTCCTATGAGATACATACACAACACAACTGAGATACATACACAACACAACTGAAATGCCTTAGGCTGAATATTAGCCCATTGCCTTTAGACAAATAAAGAACGATGCAGTTCTTGGCACAGCCACTGTTGCCTGTGGCTGCAGCCCTTGCACCTTCCAATAAAAACAGATGGCACAAGATGAACATCTAGTGTCATCTTTTCTTTCTAACAGCTGAGGGGGCTGGGCCACATGCAACCATGTGTCAGCACATCTTGCGCCATCTTTCTTTATCAAAGAGTACAAGGGCTGTGGCCATGCAACCAGGGTCATGTAGAATAATAATGAAGGACAAATGAATGTACAAGGTACAAGATTAAAGATACCAATATAGTTTAGCAAATGGAAAAAGATCAACCATGTTTATACATGTGGGGGTACCAAAAGTGCCACTTTGCTCAATAGGATAATGTCTAGTGTAATATGGATATAGCAAGGATATTAACCAACTAGTACATAAAGTTGATATCAGTGTTTGAAAATTCACGATCCGGATTGGAAAACCCGATCCGGACTGGTAATTGTCCTGACCGTTCTGGATCTAGTAATATAGCAGGATCCGGCCGTGTCCAGTTTCGAACCGGCCGGTCTAGACCAGTCAGTACCGGTTCTATAACAGAACCAGCCAGCTCTATCCGGTTCTGTCAGTGTGTAACTTTTAAAAAATGAAGGGTGGTGGGCCACCCCTTTTTTCAAAATCTTATGAAAGGACCACCAACTTGTGGACCCCATCCACTCTCAAATGGGTACACATCACCCAAGAGCTTGTGCTCAATAAAGTACACATCGGGTAACAAAGCTTGAGGCTTTTATTCAAGCTTCCCCTCCTCTGTGTCTTGGATAAATTTTCTCACCTCACCTACCAATTAGCCAGATTTTTGCTCTACCAACCTTAGCGTCTAATTAGCTAACCAACAAATAACTTAATATTATGTCTCTCTCTCTCTCCCCCTACCAAC